ATATAATCTATATAATACTCATTCCGACCCTTGGAGACTGAAAGTTGCCATCACTTCATTTATAGGTAAGGAAACCAAGCTGCAGAAAGAAGTGACTTGTCCAAGCCCACCCAGATGGGAAGGTGCTTGCTTTTTCTTCCTTTTTCCTAGGGAATCTGAGGCATGACTGGCTTCTTCCCTGTGACTCACATCCTCTTGAGGGAAGAGAAATCAAGTCCATTCTTCCTCTCTTTGAATTTCTGCTCAAGCTGCCCACCAGGTCCCAGCACTGGGACCCTCTTAAGGTGCCTCTGGCCCTCCTGCTGGCTAACTACTAGAGGCCCAGGGTCCGGGGACACTTGGCTTTGGCACCAGACCACCCACCTCCAAGTGCAAGGCCTGGCAGGGATAGCTGAGCAGAAGGCAGGACTGGCCCCACCTCCTCGCTGTGTTTACCTTTTGAACTTCTATCTTGAGCTTATCTTTAAGGGAGGGAGGGGATATTCCATAAACTTAAAATAGGCAAGATGTAATTAATAGTATGCTTTGTTCTTTTGATCCTTATCTGTACAGGAAGACACACCCCTTTTCAGTTTTGTGAGTGGAGGAGACACTGCCCCTGGGGATCACAGTTGTTCCATTTTCCACTTTTGAACTCTGGATCCCTTTGGCTTCCCTCTCCCCCTGGATAAAGGGTTTCCCCAAGCCTTCCCCTGAGCACTTCACCAAGGTTTTTCTATTTATCAAAATTACCTGCATTATCTGTTATCATTATTTCTTCTTTTTTTTAATATTTATATGTACAAGGTCTGGGGTGTAGGCTAGAGGTGCGGGAGTGGGAGTAAGAGGATTTACCACAGACAGGGTGGGGAGCAGAACAAGCAGATCTACTGAAATACACTGCTGAGGGGAGCAGCGGGTGAGACAGGAGAGGTCTGCTGCTCCATATGTGGATTAGCTCCCTGGCTGGTCCGGGATCTAACTCATGCTGCCTTGACTGGTGATAATTTGATAGTGCTGTCTTTAACCCTGGCACCACCAGGGAGGCCCCTCATACAGAGTAGTTTTGAAGTCAGTTTTGGAGATGTTGGTTTCAGAGAGTGGGCTCCATTGGGTTAACTAGGAAAAGTTTCACCAGAGCTCCCCTTCCAGTGGCACCAGTGATTATCCCCATGAGACAGAGGCTTTAGTTATATCCAGAAGGGCAGGTTTATAATAAAAAGGGAGGGAAGGAAAGGACGCTTGCAGACACAAGCGGGCATGAAGAGCTGCCCCTGGAAGGGCTGGGTTGACTAAAGAAAGGCCTGCATGGTCAGGGGCAGGCAGCCTGGGGAGGAGCTGCCTCTGCTACTTTGCAAAGGGAGAAGGTGTGTGGAGAGAAGCACTGGCTTAGTCACAGGCTGGTGGGAGGCTGCTGCCCTTTGCCAGGAAGGAATTGCTCTGCGATAGTCTTCTCTTTGGAAGGCGCTCATTCCTTTGTGGAGCTATTAACTTTTGTTAACTTAATTACTTCTAGGGTGTCCCTAAGTTTTGTAGGGACCAATGATTCTTTACAACGGCCCTCAATTGCCATATCCCCACCTCGGGTATGCGCCTTACCTCACGATACTCTCCGTAGCATTCTGATACTTGCTATAGCAGTTGGTGCCTAAGGATTTTTCATTTCATAGTTTTATTACTATGTTAATCACGCTACCCCCACCTCCAGATCCCAGCATTGCATGAACCAGGCTTCTGGTCTGGTGGTGCCTCTTTTCCAACTTTTCTACTTGTAGCCTCCATCAGTTTCGCTGCCCTAAAAATCCTCTGTGCTGCACCTATTCACCCCTCCCTCACCCAGCAAGCCCTGTAACCACTGATCTTTTTGCTGTCTCCGTAGTTTTGCCTTTTCCAGAACATCACATAGTTGGCGACCTTCAGTAAGAGAAAAGCAAGGTGAGTGAGCAAGCTAAAATGTGTTTATTTGAGAATAGTAGAGAACGACAATGTGAGGTACAAAGATTTAGGCCGAAACCCAAAACATGTCTAGAGGAGGGACAAAGGTTAGGGCTTTTTTATAAATAGAAAGGAAGGATGAGGTAATGACCAGGTGGAGGCTGGTAAAAGTAGCCAAAAATTCACTTTATCAGTTCTTTCAAACAGACTATTCTTGTTTTTGCTGACTTCTTGGAATGTTGCCTATTGGCCCAGTCCATGGCTGTAGTCCAATTTAAAGAGGACAGTAAAACAGCCTTTTTAGTTGTGGCCTGCTCCAGCTCAATTTTATCTTATTTTATTTTTTTAAAGATTTATTTATTTATACATACAAGAACTGGGGTACAGGCCAGAGGTACTGGGGAGGGTGGTGGTGGTAGTGGTGAGAGGATTCACCAGAGAGTGGGGAGCAGAACAGTTGGATCCACTGAAATACACTGCTGAGGGGAGCATTGGCAGGACAGGGGAGGTCTGCTGCGCCATGTGGGTAACTCCCTGGCTGGGGATCAAACTCATGCTGCAAGGCCTTCCCGGTGGCGCAGCGGTTGAGCGCTGGGTTGTGAAGCTGCCCGTGGCCTCTGTGGCCGGTTCGATCCCCGGCTGCTCCCAGGCTACCAAAGGAGGGTCCCACATGGCGTGCAGACCTCTCCTGCCGCCCGCTGCTCCCCCTCAGCAGTGTACTTTGGTCCTTCTGCCTGCTCTGCTCCCCGCTCTGGCTCTGGTGAATTCTCTTACCCTCCTGCGCTTCTGACTATACCCAGTGCATGTACAAACAAACAAACAAATAAATAAATAAAAATACATGCCTTTAAAATAAATAAATAAACCCCCAAAAAACACAAAAAACCAAACTCATGCTGCAGTTGCTGAAAATAGCTTCATAGTGCTGAGACTTAATCCCTTGAACCACCGGGAGGCCCTCCATCTTTATTTTAAATGGCTTCAATGATGTCAACTTTTCACAGGTGAGATTGCCACCTTACCTTCTTTAATCCTTATATCTACCTTCTGAAGGAGGAACTATTATTTCTTTTGCAGTTGAGGAAATTGAAACTTGCAGAGATATATCACTTGCCAAAGAACACAGAATGAGTCCATAGGGGAGAAGGGCTTGAAACCCAGGCAGTCCAACTCAAACCCCAAGCTTATCCTGCCTCTGGGTCTTAGAACTTTTGTTTTATCTAAGAGGTGACCCAGTCCATAAGCACCTGCATCTTAAAGATGGAGCCTGGCTCCTTGGTCCAAGAGTATCCTAGCCAGGAATGGAAACTGAAGAGTCATTGGGGCTTGGCCAGGTATGTTGTTCACCACCTGGGGTTGACCAAAGGTCTGGGAGACTGAGGGAAAGCTTAAAATTGGGTCTTTTGAAACCTCCTCAAAAGTTTAACACATTTTTGTGAGTTTCTCCAGACTAGATGCCCTGAGGATGAAATAAACATGAGCTCCTAGAGGCAGTGTTGTGTGTGGCTGCAAGACCAGCTCTGCAGGTCAGCTGCCTGAGGGAACATAGGCTCATCACTTCTTCCTGCCTGCTTTGAACCCAGCCCCTGCTCCAACTTGTCAAAGATGAGTTTTCATAGGACAGTAGGGTTAAAAACCCCAGAGTAGGGCCCCAGAGAGCCTTGAGAGAAGCCAGATCCTTGCAAAACAGAGGAAAAGAAGTGGGATCAGGAACAGATACTCCAAAAGTTACCCCTGTGGTGTCTGCCCTTAGAGCTGGGGAAGGAATTGCTGCTCATTTAAAACGCTCTGCTGAGACTCTCCATTTTTGTACACAGTTTTGTCCCTTTGTAGGCGTTCATCATTGTTCTAACAAAATAATGGAGTTGTGGGTAGTTCAGTCTGTGCCTCTCATGTGGGACCTTGGGTGTGTTTTTGTTTACAGCTGCCCAAAGTTTACTGCCTGGTATGCAGATAGGGTTGTCACATGAAATGCAAAAATCCCAGCTAAAATTGAATTTAGACAAACGAATCATTTTTTAGTTATGACTAGGTCTCATTTTAAATATTTCAAAAGTTTACTTGAAATTCAAATTTAACTGGGTTTCCTGTATTTTATCTGCTAAATCTGACCATGCCTGTAGCAGAGTATTTGTGGAACAAATGGGTTTTGGGCGTGCAGCAACATTCCGTCCCGCTCTGGGCCTCAGTTTCTCTATCTGACACGTGGGAGCAGGGCCCGCTGCGCAGGCGAGCGCCGTGAGAACCGCCACGCAGCGAGGGGGCACGTGCGCCTAGTCGCCGCCGGCCCGGCCCTCCAGACCCGGCGCTGCCCCAGTCTTCGCTCGCCCAAGCGGGCAATTGCCGAGTCCCGCCCCCGGCCTGAGGCCGTCGCCATGGAGACGCGGGTAGCCTCCCCCCCCCGCCACGCGTTTCCGCTGCGCTGGAGTCCTCTGATTGGACAGCCGCCTGGACGCTACCACCAGCCCCGCGCCCCCTGGGGGTGGGGGCGGGGCCTTGGCCTCGTGGGACTCTCTCTGAGGGCCAGTGCCTGTGGCCTCTGGAGGAGGCTCACGCAGGGAAAAAAGACCGAATCTCGGGTCGGAAGCGTGTCCGTGGCTTCTCCTACCGGCGCCTACACTCATGCTTCTCCCTGAGAAAGGACGAGGGGGCGCAAGTCGGCAACGCCCCCTCTGGAGCCTATTTAGTCCCAAAATCTGGAGCACCGGAAGTGCTGGCGACGTGTCAGTGCGCCCTGTCCTAAACCTTCCCCCCTCGGCCACCTTTCCCAGTCAGCTGCGGGATTCCGGGGCCGCCTGGGCGCTGCACCCCGCCACTTCCGCATTGAACCATCGCTTCAACCGAACTCGCAACCTCTGCGCGCGCTCCATCTCGCGCCTGATGGTAGGGCCGGAGCCGGCGGGCGGCCACGCCCCTTCCCGCGCCTACGAGCCAATGGGCGGGCGCCTCCCGGCGGGGTAGTGGGTAATTAATGAGGGCCGGTCGCTGATTGGCCGCGGCGTCGCGGCCGGGGGCGGGCGGCGGGGTAGGTTGTTCCTGAGGTGGGAGGCGGCACCCGTGGCTGAGGAGAAGGAGGCCCGAGAGCGACATGTCCCCGGCGGCTGAGTCGGAGCGGCCCGCGCTGCTGTGTCTCTGAGCCCGGGGCGGCCTGGCGGCCGGCCGAGGACGAGGGTCGGCGGAGGCTGCCCCCGCTGTGGTGGCCGCCATGCTGGGCGCCCGCGCGGCGGAGGGAGCCTTCGTGGCGCTCCTGCGACTGCTGCTGCTGCTGCTGCCGGCGCTCCGGGGTCCGGGGCTCGGCGTGGCCGGCTCGGCGGGGGCCGGGCTGCCCGAGAGCGTCATCTGGGCCGTCAACGCGGGCGGCGAGGCGCATGTGGACGTGCACGGGATCCACTTCCGCAAGGACCCTCTGGAGGGCCGGGTGGGCCGAGGTGAGAGCCCTCGGCCGAGCGGGGGTGCCGGGCCTGCCGGCCGGGCTGCGGGCCCCGAGCCCCCGCCCCCGCGCCGGGGCCGCCGCTCCGGAGCGAAGTTTCTCCCCGCGGTGTCCTCGGGGATCCGCGCGGAGCGCAGAGCCTGGCGCTGGCTCGCAGCTTCCAAGAGCCATTGAGGCAGAGAGTTGGCGAGAAGTTAAATCTGGACCTCACAGCCTGCGTTTTCTGGCCCCCTCACCTCCACCCGCGCTTGGGAAAGGCGAGGGCGGCCTTGGCCACCTCGAGGCCTCGGGTTGCAGGTTGTCGGGGCTCCCGGCCTGCCTGGTTCTGCCCCCCTAGCAGGACGAGCCCGGCCGGCCCTGAATTCGGTCGTTTTCCCGAGCCCGTCTGTGGGAGTGGAGCTTGACTCGCAGCCAGAATAGAGAGGAATCTTCGAAGAGGATGGGCCAGGAAAGTTTGATTGTAGGCTCCCGCCTTCCCGGCCCCCTTTGGAGCGAAGAATACGTGTGCTTAAAAGTGGAAGCTGCTGGCCGCCCCCAGAGGGTGGCTGTATTGAAGCCATCCTGCACACGAGGCTGTGGTGTGTTAACTGGGTCAGCCGGTGTAACAGCAGAGTGTTTAGAAAGTGCATGGAGCCTGAGAGGCTGATTCCAGCCTGTGGGGAGAATGACTTTGATTTGTTTTAGCAACCGTAATTTTTACAGAACTGCGCAGTCCTCAGAGCTCGTGTGAGACTTGCCAGGGCAACTGGTTGAAAATGCAGATTCCCGACCCCGACGCCAGATCTGGTAGTTTATAAATAGACGATTGATGGGACCCAGGTTTCTGCACCAGGAGCCCTTGTGATGTAGGTGGGCCGCCGAGCACTTTTGGGGCAAAATCTGCTGTAGTCTCTGTATTTTCTTGAAAGGGGGACTGGGAAATAGGTTTAAGAAGGAAGTTCCCTGCTTCATGTGTTGGAAGGAGATTTATGCTGTATGCTGTTCGCAGGCTGCCAGACTGGCAGTTTGCCACCTCCAGACGACTAGGAGACAGACTTTCACTCTCTCCACGAAGCCCAGATTTGGCTCTTGACTTTGCTAAGGGTTTAACTTAGTTCATCCAAATTAATCACAGTGCCCTAGAGTTTGTCCTATTAGGGAGCTTTTTGCTTCCATACATGTGAGGACTTGGGACACGGGGCTCTTTTCTGAAGTTCTGTTTGTCTTGGAATTTATCATTTATTCAGTCCTGGCATGTAAGTCGCAGTAGCCTGGGTTCAGCTGAGTCAGGGCCTCTGTCTTTAGCAGTTATAACAGCAGCCAAAACCAGACTTTATAGCAGAAGGTCATTACTGTCTTCATCCTGGACCCTTAATTTCTTCCTGGGTGTGGGAAGGGAGTTAGGGGCACTTGAGGAAACTAGCGACCGTTTGTGGACTTTGCCTCTTGAGATAGCGGTGGTGAAAACCATGCAGATGGTTCCTTTCACTTACAGATACCAGACTTTATTTTACATAGGTTACGTGGTCCTAGGAGGCCCATTGTGCAGAGGAGGAAGCTGACTAAGACCACACAAGTTTAGTCCCTGGCTGCTCTCCTTTTTGACAAATCCTGTTTTTTTTTTTTGAGAAATCCTGGTTTTTTTTTTTTTAAGGATTTATTTATTTACTCATACAAAAGCTGGGGTACAGGCCAGAGGTGCAGGGGTGTGAGAGGATTCACCAGAGACAGAGCTGGGAACAGAACAGGTAGATTGACCGAAATACACTGCTGAGGGGAGCAGCGGGCGAGACAGGAGAGGTCTGCTGCGCCATGTGGGTTGCTCCCTGGCTGGCCAGGGATCGAACTCGTGCTGCAGAGGCTGCGGATTGCCTCAAAGTGCGGTGCTTAACCCCTTGTGCCATGAGGGAGGCCCGAGAAATCCTGGTTTTAATTTGCTGGTGCAGGTGGTGGGGGTGGTAGATGTTCTGTGTTTGGGTTGCTTTTCCTTTGGAGGAGTTTGTTGTAGCAGGTAAAATTAAATGAGATCTACCAAAGCTTATGTAGATTGGAGTTATGTCTTGGACCCTGTTCTCTGGTGGGACATTCTCTAATCGGAGCTTCTCTGCGCTTCTCTGCCTGCCGGTTTGGGGATAAAGTGGAACATTATTAAGATAGGAATAGAAAGAGAGGATGGTTGTCAGCTGCAGATAGGCCAGGACTGCATTTACTAGGATCCTGAGAGCAGTGTTTGGCCAGCAGGTCTGGGACTAAGAGGTGAGCCCACTCTCAGGAGGCAGTTCTCTATAGTTTGTTTATGTGCTAAGAAATCGGCACCAAGGGAAGTGAAGCTGTTCACTCTGCTTTCACTTCTGTGGCAGTGTCTGGATAAGGGGCGCGCCGGGTATTTGGAGACCTGGTCTCCTACAGCTAGTTACACCAATTGCAGTAGGAACTGTATGTTTCTTTCTTTTCCCACATGTCTGTGATATTGTTTCCATCATGTTGAGGAAAGTTCATTTTATGTTGAATAAATTCAGGTATTTGTTGCCAAGTCAGTCCAGATAAGGGTTTGGCCTGCCTTTGAACTTGCTGTTTCTCTGTAGTGTCTTTGTAGTTTAGCATTCTCCTAACTGTGAAAGGCTCAGGGCACCTCGTGGCTTTTGCTTTCAAAGGCACTTCATAATGTTTGTTGAATTTCATTTGTGCCTTGAGGATAGCTACTGCTCATAGGAGATACCAATGGCTTGGGAAGGGCTTTTTTAACCTGTGAGCTTCAACAGATGGAAGTACCACTATAGAAGTGGTTCTGAAGCACTTTGGGGGGTTTTTGGCATGTGGCATATTGCAGGTTCTTAAGCTGCTCAGTCTGGGTTCCTCTTGATTCAAAATGGGCCTGGGTACTTGGCCTAGAGGGCCTAGAATTTAGCTTGATTTTAGGAGAGGGTATTTCCCTTTTTTTTTCTTTTTTTAAGCTTTATTTTTATTTATGCATACAAGAACTGTGGTGTAGGCCGGAGATGTGGGGGCGGGGGTGAGAAGATTCACCAGAAACAGAGTGGGGAGCAGCGGGTGAGACAGGAGAGGTCTGCTTCGCCATGTGGGTCAGCTCCCTGGCCAGAGATCGAACACTGCAGTGGCTTATGGTGCTGAGACTTTAAAACCCTACTCCACCAGGGAGGCTCTGAGGGTATTTCCTTTTTATAGAAAGATACCTGCTAATCATTTATATGAACTTAAAGAATTTGCTTTACCTTTCTGAACCTTACTTTCATTCTCAAGCTTTAGAAACTGGACAGGAGTCTGAAAGCTCTCTTATCCAGAGTAAGTTAAATTGTCTCTGTCTTTTCTTTGCTTGATGACCTTTTACACGGAATTAAATGTAGGGCAGAACATGACTCCAGAGTGGAAAAAGGCTGGCTGAGGGCCTGAGCCTATCAGATTACTAATTCTTCAAGCCTAAGGAAGACCCTTTCCTAGGCAGCCTTCCTTTTGGCTGAGGGGAAGGATTTGGCCTTGGAGGAGATAAGAACTTGAGAGATAGGATGAGAGTTGCTGCCTTTCATTTGGTTAAGGCCCCAGGATTTGTTTAGAATTTTCTCTCTCTACTGTCACATAAAAGGCAGGCTACATTTGAAGGCCCTCTAAGTAGCAGAAGCTTGAAGTTAGAGAATTTAGGGTTGTGATAGCCCCATTTTACAGGTGAGAAAACACTAGAGAAAGTAATGTATTCCATATCACATAGTAAGTGACAGAGTCAAGATTCAAATCCAGATCTGTCTTACTCTAAACCTCAGCTCAATTCAGGCAGTCTGACTACTCTATTTAGAGTTAAAGCAACAGAATCATCTAGGCCCTTTAACCTTCTCTTTTGGTTAACTGAATCCTTGGTTTCCCTGCTTCTGTCCAATAAGAATAATTCTTTGTGGGGCCTCCCTGGTGGTGCAAGGGGTTAAGCACTGCACTATGAAGCAATCCGAAGCCTCAGCAGCACAAGTTCAACTCTGGCCAGCCAGGGAGCAACCCACATGGCGCAGCAGACCTCTCCTATCTTGCCCGCTGCTCCCCTCAGCTGTGTATTTCACTCAGTCTGCGCGTTCTGCTCCCCACTCTGTCTCTGGTGAATCCTCTCACCCCTGGCTTCTCTGACCTGTACCCCAGCTCTTGTATGCATAAATAAATCAATCTTTTTTTTTTTTTAATAGAGGCATGTTTTATTTATTTATTTGTTTGTTTGTTTGTTTTGTTTATACATGCACTGGGTACAGTCAGAAGCGTGGGAGGGTGAGAGAATTCACCAGAGCCAGAGCGGGGCAGAGCAGGCAGAAGGACCGAAGTACACTGCTGAGGGGAGCAGCGGGCGGCAGGAGAGGTCTGCGCGCCATGTGGGACCCTCCTCCGGTGGCCGGGGAGCAGCCGGGGATTGAACTGGCGCCGCAGAGGCTGCGGGCAGCTTCGCAACCCAGCGCTCAACCGCTGCGCCATCGGGGAGGCCCTAAATCAATCTTTTTTTTTTTTAAAAAAAAGAATAATTCTTTGTGAACTGGCCTACCTGGAGAAAGAAGTGATCAGGAGGCCTAATGAGGGGTGGTGATACTGGAGCGCTGCAGGGAGCTGCACTGTGGTGGTTTTATGGAGAAGCTGCTCCTGCTCACTTTGCTTTCCCATCTCTGTGGTTTCCAGCTGCGGTTTGCCCAGTTAGTTTTATTCCATTTCTGCTTGGTCCATTCCCTAGACTCCCCAGAGTGGAGGCATTTGTTTAGTGCTGATGTGTGTATATGTTTGTATCATTCCTATGTATCAGTCTGTTTCTGTAAGGCATGGTATTAAGCTCTTCACAGATATTTTAATCCTCACCCCAACCATGTGGTATAGATGATAGCCCCACTTTACAGGGGAGAAACTGCTTGGAGAAAATAACTTGTTCTACATTACACAGTAGAAGGCAGAGCTGGGATTCATATCTCGGCCTCTCTTACGCTAAAAGCTAGGCTGCATTTTCAAGTAGCCGGGCTATTCCATTGTCCAGAACAGAGAAGCAGCAGACATCATATATGCCCTTTGGCCCCCTTCTTAACTGTCTGGGTTGTATTGTTTTCTTTTTTTTTTAATTAGATAATAAATTTTATTGTTATATTCCCCATACAATTGCAGCGCCCCCATTCTGACCCCAATCCCTCCCCTCCCGCCCTGCCCCCCTAAAAGTGTCTCTGGTTCATAGTTTTTTGTTGATTTTGATTTTCACTTTCTTATAGTTATTCATTTTCCTGGTCCCTTATTTAAGTTATCTAGATTCCTGCTATGAGTGAGACCATCCGGTATTTTTCTTTTTCTTTTTGGCTTATTTCGCTGAGCATGATCCCTTCCAGCGCCATCCATGTTGCTGCAAATGGCATGTGTTTTATCTTTTTTGAATGCTGAGTAATATTCCATGGTATATATGTACCACATCTTCTTGATCCAGTCATCTATTTTTGGGCATTTGGGTTGTTTCCAAAGCTTAGCTATTGTAAACAGTGCTGCTATCAACATAGGGGTGCAGGTGTTCTTTGGAATTGATGTTTCTGTGTCCTTTGGGTAAATACCTAGGAGTGGAATTGCTGGATCATATGGAAGCTCTATGTTTAGTAGGTCCAGAAATCTCCACACAGCTTTCCACAGTGGTTGGACCAGTTTGCACTCCCACCAACAGTGCAGAAGAGTTCCTTTTTCTCCACACCCTCGCCAACATTTGTTGTTGCTAGTTTTTTTAATATGTGCCATTCTCACTGGTGTAAGATGGTATCTCATGGTAGTTTTGATTTGCATTTCCCTGATGACAAGTGATGTTGAACATTTTTTCATATGCCTGTTGGCCATTTGCATTTCCTCTTCAGAGAAGTTTCTTTTTAGCTCTTCTGCCCATTTTTTGACTGGATTATTTTCTTTGTTGTTGTTGAGTCTCATCAGCTCTTTGCAGATTTTTGTGATCAGTCCTTTATCATTAGTGTTGGGTGCAAAAATGTTCTCCCAGTTGGTGGGGTTTCTCTTTGTTTTTGTTATTGTCTCTTTTGCTGTGCAGAAGCTCTTTAATTTGATGTAGTCCCAGCTGTTTATCTTCGCCTTCACTATCACTGCTTTGGGTGATGTGTCTGTAAAGATGTCTTTGATGTGCAAATCACGTAGTGTTTCGCCTATATTTCCTTCTATATATTTTATGGTTTCAGGTCTTATGTCTAATTCTTTAATCCATTTTGAGTTGATTTTTGTGTATGGTGTGAGGTAGTGGTCAAGCTTCATTCTTTTGCATGTAGCGACCCAGTTTTCCCAGCACCATTTATTGAACAAACTTTCTTTGCTCCAATGCATAGTCTTTGCTCCTTTGTCAAAGATTAGTTGACCATAAATCTGTGGGTTTATTTCTGGATTTTCTATTCGATTCCATTGGTCTGTATTATGCATACAAGAGCTGGGGTACAGGCCAGAGATGCGAGGGGTGAGAGGGTTCACCAGAGAGAGTGGGGAACAGAACAGGCAGACTGACTGGAACACACTGCTGAGGGGAGCAGCGGGTGAGTCAGGAGAGGTCTGCGCCATGTGGGTTGCTCCCTGGCTGGTCGGGGATTGAACTCGTGCTGCAGAGGCTGTGGATAATAGCTTCATATTGTGGTGCTTAACCCCTTGCCCCACCAGGGAGGCCCTGTCTAGGTTGTATTGTGCCAATTTCAGCAGTGTGCTGACTGTACACTGTATTTTAGAGAAATCCATTTAGCTGTGAATGCATCAAGGCCTGGTGGGGCGGGTGGGGGGGGAGGATGAGGAGGAGAAAAACTCCTTTATTGCAGCTACATCTGTTGGGACTTGGGTGAATTCAGCTTTTCATGTGGCAGATCTCTTGGGAAAACCAGTGGGCTTTAAAGTGAAAATATTTAAAGATAATTCCAAAGTTGTTAAGTAGTTTTTTTATTTTTTTTTAAAAAGGATTTATTTATGTATACAAGAGCTGGGGTACAGGCCTGAGGTGCAAGGGGGTGAGAGGACTCACCAGAGACAGAGCGGGGAACTGAACAGGCAGACTGATGATACTGCTGAGGGGAGCAGCGGGCGAGACAGGAGAGGTCTGCTGCACTATGTGGGACCCTTGCCGGCCAGCTGGACGGCTGGGATCGAACCAACACTATGGAGGCTGATGACAGCGTCACAGCGCGGTGCTCAACAGCCTGGGCCACGGGGGTGGCCCAGCCTGTTAAATAGTTTTTGATCACATGGTTGAGTTCCTTCGTTGTGGGTCTGAGACTGACTACTGCAGATACAATGTTTATAGGTTTGTGTCCCAGTATAATGGCTTGAGCCTGGGAAGTACATCCTTAATAGTGTTACCCAGCTACCCTTCTTGGATTTCTTGAGGAGAAATAGGATGAGGCACATCTGAAGACAAAAGTACACAATGAATTTCCTCTTCTACTGTCTCATCAGTCCTTCTGATCTAGCTTAACAGGAACTGTTAACAGTTATGTTTATTTTTTTGAGGGCCTGCCCTGGGTTTTTAGTTACTTTTACCCGCCCTTGGAGATAAAAGATCCTCAATGGAGTATTGGTGATTCAAAAGATAAAGCTCCAGGAATGAGTGCTCTTGAACATTCCCCGAAGTATTTAGTTGCCAAAGGTCTTCAGAGTCACTGTGTGGGATTGCAAGGTGGTCCTGAGATCTTCATTTCAGACTGGAGGAAAGACTAAACCTGTAACTGAAATCACTGTTGTGTCTGTAGTTTGGAAAATGAATGTATGGAACACTGGAAAGCTTCAGTGTGTACACAGGCTGAAGAAGCCAGTGAGAGGCTGCTCTCTGAAGGAAGAAGCGTAGCTCTGGGACTGGAGTGTAGAGTCTTATATTTGAGGAAACAAATCCAGTTTAGTTTGTTTTGTGGGGGGCGAGAAGAAAAACATACAAGTTGGAGGAGGACTAGAGGCAATACAGGTTTTCTGTTCTTTTGCGTCTCACCCAAATAAGCAACTTCACTTTTATCCTGCCTCTGTCCTTGCTAGTCCGTGAAATGGGAAAGGGGGCTCTAGCCTTGTGGAGAGAAGTTCAGCGGCTTCACCACGTTGCAGGCACCTCTTTCACTGCCATTTGCTCATGTAGCAAATCTCATGAGTGCTTATTTATGTGCCAGGGACTGTGTTAGGTGCTGGGGATATACTAGGACCCTTTTTTTTTTTTTAAAGATTTTATTTTATTTATTTATACAAGCACCGGGTATAGTCAGAAGCATGGGAGGGTGAGAGAATTCAACAGAGGCAGAGCAGAGAGCAGAGCAGAGCAGGCAGACTGATGAAGTACACTGCTGAGGGGAGCAGCAGGCGGCAGGAGAGGTCTGAGCGCCATGTGGGACCCTTGCCCAGTGGCCGGGGATCGAACCCGTGTTGCAGGAGCTGCGGGCAGCTTCGCAACCCATCGCTCAACCGCTGCGCCACCGCGGAGGCCCCACTAGGACCTTTTTTCCTGTGGTGTAACTGGGGAAATGTTCGAGAAAATATATGAGGTTGAGTTTTGTAAATCTTTGGGAAGTAAGGTATTACTTTACTATCTTATTTATAATTTTTTTTAATTTATTTTTTATACAAGAACTGGGGTACAGGCCAGAGGTGCGGGAGGGTGAGAGGATTCACCAGAGACAGACCTGGGAGCAGAACAGGCAGACTGACGAAATACACTGCTGAGGGGAGTAGTGGGTGCGACAGGAGAGGTCACCTGGCCATGTGGGATTCTCACCAGCCAGCCAGGATCTAACCCGCGCTGCAGAGGCTGTGGACAACTTCACAGTGCGGCACTCAACTGCCTGCGCCACCAGGGAGGCCCAGAATCTTATTTATAGTTAAGACAATAAGGAATGATTTTCCTAACAAATACCTGTTTATTTTAGACTTAACGTTTGTGAGTGAGAACAAGCATTCATTGAACTTCATTGTCTGAGAGAGTTCCTGACTAGCTCCCTTGTTTCACGAGGTTTCTCTGAAGCTCTCCCTCTCAGAAAAGCAGGCATCTGTAGGATAATGCTTTGTTCTGGTAATGAGTTACACTTGTTCGCTTCCCATCACTCTCAACCCAGTGAGAAAAGTCATTTTAATGTGCTTTCCAAAAGTTCCGCTGTGAGGTTACAGAAGCTGTTGGAGTGATTAGTATTTGGTTTCTTTCTACTTCCTTGTTAATACTTACCTGATACTTGCTTTTGTGTCTGGTCTGTTTGGGAGCTAGGTGCAGGGGAGGTGGCCCCTTCCACTGGGAAGGTCATTAACTTTGCCCTGAAAATGCCTCTGCAGATCTGGGGTCTCTGCTTTTCTTTTGTGTTTTGCTTCTGATATAGTTTCTTTGTCTTTTGTTCCTAGCCTCTGACTATGGCATGAAACTGCCAATCCTGCGTTCCAATCCTGAGGATCAGATCCTATATCAAACAGAGCGGTACAATGAGGAGACCTTTGGCTACGAAGTGCCCATTAAGGAGGAGGGGGACTATGTGCTGGTGTTGAAATTTGCCGAGGTCTATTTTGCACAGTCTCAGCAGAAGGTAAGGCCTGGTCAGGACCCTGCTTGACCAGTGGGTACTTAACCACGCTTGGTTCCCGTGCTACGGGTCAGAGTATAAACACCTTCCAGAAGGTAGTAACACATGAGCTTTGAGGAAATGCTGGATTCCTTCTGTCCCCAGAGAAATTGTGTCCCATTGCTCACGAGGCTGCACTTCCGTTGGAGGTTGGTGACAGAAGGCAATGCCAGAATCCTTATTCTTGGCAACCATCTATTGTAAGGCCTTAACAGTGAAGGAACTGACTTTGATTTTGTTCGGGTAAAATAATTTTGTCACCTTGGAGGGTATTCGGCCTTGTCCTTTCTTAACTTATTTTTGAATTTGAAATCTGCTGTTGCTGTTCATGGGGTATGATGCTGATGTTTTTGGCATTACCTTCTTTTGTAATCTTGAAAGGTATTTGATGTGCGATTGAATGGCCATGTCGTGGTGAAGGACTTGGATATCTTCGATCGTGTTGGACACAGCACAGCTCATGATGAAATCATCCCTATGAGCATCAGAAAGGGGAAACTGAGTGTCCAGGGAGAGGTTTCCACCTTCACAGGGAAACTCTACATTGAGTTTGTTAAGGTAACAGTCCTTCTCTGCCCTTACAGCTAAAGAAAGGATGCAGGGGAAATGTTTACTGGGGTTGATCACGGTTTCCTATTTCCTAGGGTTACTATGACAATCCCAAAGTCTGCGCACTCTACATCTTGGCTGGAACCGTGGATGGTAAGTTGTGTTTTGACCTGCTTTTTGACTTGGGCTTAAAGGATATGGTTGAGAAAATTCTTGGGCTAATTTAGCTAACCAAAATTTTTTTTTTTTTAAGATTTATTTATTTGTGCATACAAGAGCTGGGGTACGGGCCAGAGGTGCAGGGGGGTGAGAGGATTCACCAGAGACAGAGCGGGGAACAGAACAGGCAGATTGACTGAAGTACACTGCTGAGGGGAGCAGCGGGGGAGTCAGGAGAGGTCTGCTGTGTCATGTGGGTTGCTCGGGTTGCTCCCTGGCCGGCCAGGGATCGAACTCATGCAGCAGAGACTGGATTGCTTCACAATGCAGTGCTTAACCCCTTGTGCCACCAGGGAGGCCCCTAACCAGATTTTTGTAAGCACTTAAAGTCAACTTGTGGGGACTTTCAGAGTCAGTGGGTGGGATTGAAGTTTGGCTTGGTGGTGGCTGTAGCTTTGAAGTAAGAGCTGTGTTCAAATCTTGCTGCCATATAGTCATCTATTTGGTTTTAGACAAATTCCTTTAACTTCACTGTAAGTTAGGGTTAATAATGGTACCTCTTGGTATGCTCTGAACTGTGTAGTCAATTGGAATCACCTAAAACTTGTCCTTATTCTGTTTATAACATCTTCCTAGGGACAGAAAGGGAAAAAGGCAAAGGGGACAAGTTTTTAGGGTTTTTGGTAAGCTCTGAAAGAATCCAGTATTGTTGGACAACATTGGGACAGAAGTTTACTTACTAATGTCTCCTTGTCCTTGGGACCTAACTGTAGGGTTATCACTGTTTTGGGTTTCAGATTGTCTTAGCTGCCAGCTTCCCAGCTGATTGTGCAGAGGAAGCTTGTCTCTTAGTCCGTTTTCTCCCTTAACTCGCCTCTGTGCCTTTTCTTAACTCATCCTGAGTGAGGAGCTCATCCTATTGCCTTGATGCCTTCAAGTACTAATATGACACCTGGGAAGATGTCTCACCATCAAATAGCTATATAGCTCAAGTCCCTAAGGAGGGGACAGAGCAGAGGGCTCAGTGTATCTTGAGAACCCAGAACTCTAGGTCGGATCTGTAGTTGCTATATGAATCAAAGAGGAATGTGGGAACAACTTGAAAAAGTTAACTTTGCGTGGGTCATAGTTCCTGTCCTGTCTTGTCACCTAGAGATTCTAAAGAAGTAGAACAGAAAGGGGAAGTGATAAGCCCCCCATTGCCAAGGGTTGGCAGTACTCGGCTCTGTGGGTCCTGGTTAGGCCATGGGATCTCTGTTACAGCCCACTGACTATTTTTAAAGGTCTTACTAAATACTGTGGGTCTTACTTAAAAGTTTTCCTCTCTCTTGGGTCAGATGTACCAAAACTGCAGCCTCATCCAGGATTAGAGAAAAAAGAAGAGGAGGAGGAAGAAGAAGAATATGATGAAGGATCAAATCTCAAAAGACAAACCAATAAGAACCGGGTGCAGTCAGGCCCCCGAACGCCCAACCCGTATGCCTCGGACAACAGCAGCCTCATGTTTCCCATCCTGGTGGCCTTTGGAGTCTTCATTCCAACCCTCTTCTGCCTCTGCCGGTTGTGAGAACAACTTACCATCCTGAACAGGGTGGAGGGGTGTGGGAAAGAAACCAAACATGTTGATTTTGGTTTCTGTATTTTCACAATAACAAACAACAACAACAAAAAACCAAACAACAAAACACACACACACAAATTAAAGATGGAAAGAGGCAGAGTGAGTAGAGAGAGCAGCCATCATCCACCACCTGGTCCCAGACCTGCTTCAGTCCTAAGTCCTTTCTTTGTGACTGACCCCAGCTGTCTCTTTCCTCTCTAGGGTACTTAGGGTAAACTGGATCCTACCTGTGCACGGATCCTCGTCTGTATACCTAGTGGAAAGGACTCTGAACTCAGAGCAGACAACAGTTCCTTTTTTTAGGTTAGAAATTAACAGCAGGGAAATGTGATCTTATTACTGGAGAAGACCAGCGTTGGGAATTGGGTATGTTCTGAAGTTATGTCCAGATAAATTTTCAGATGTCCTGGGAGAGAGAGAGAAAGAGAGAGAGTGTGTGTGTCTGTGTGTGTATGTGTGTGAGAGAGAGACTAATTTGTATAATAAAGATGAAAATGGAGGGGGGATTAAAGAAAAAGAAAAACTAGTTACTTCCTTACTTGGAAGCCTTTCTGATTTTCAGCCATTGGTGGTTCTACCTTAAGTGTTTGAGCTTTGTCATTGCTTGTCTCCCTAACATGTACCAGTTAGACGACTGTCTGGTATCCAAGACGATTACTTTATGTCAGGTCCTCAAGTTGCCTCTTGTTACCACAACAAATCATTTTGATTTCAGTGCCTGTTGGGGACTTGATTTCCTCTTTTTTTTCTTTATCTGGTTCATTTGAAATCTCTTCTCTCTCAATCATCCCACTAAGTTATTGCCAAGAAGGGAAGAATACCCTGGGATGTTGGGTTCTCTCTTCTTGAATGTCATCCTTTACCACCTCACCTTCTTGGTACTCCCTCCCTGGATCTCTGAGCCAGCCTCCAGGAGGACCTGACCCAGCAGTTCTTTTACTGGCCCCTTTATAGGGTCTTGCTGCCAGGGGACAGATGCTTTCCAGCCTGCAGCAACAGAACACTTGACCTTAAAAGTCTCTTCTGGTCTTTGGATTAGAAAAGGCTTATGTTAGCATAACTTAGGAACAACCTCAGAGACTTGAGCCCTACTGAGTGACTGACCACTATTGAGAGTGTCTGGTATCTGATGTTCATTTATTCCCATCTTCTGTGTCATGTTCCTCCAGTTTTGGTTTATGCCTAGAACTGTCCCCAAGGAATTAGACTGATTGGCTGTGTCTGGCCAGGTGATACATGTCATTGGTCTTAATATGCCGCTCTGTTCTTTAATTTCCTGATTTAAATAGCAGTCAGGTTTTTGGTATGGTGGGGCTGAAAGATTTCCAATCAGTCATAACCCTACCAATTCTGAAGCCAATCTTAGCATTTAAGTGTCTGTCTTGAATTCCCTGGAGAAATTTTTGTGGGAAATGAAGTTCCCTATTTGTCTGCTTTTTAGTTACCGTCATCCATTTCCCAGTTGGGGCAACAATGAGGGAGGCCTCAGTCAAACTACAAGAAATTTTGTGGATGGATGCCAGCGGGATTAGCTTCACTTGGGCTGGAACAACATAGAATCCCAGGCAAACCCCATCTTTTTAGAGTGTGTTCAATTTTGCATTTATCTTTTTGGATGTGTTTCTAAAGAACTTCATGTATTTGAACTGCTCTTTATGTAACAAAGTAAGTAACCCTTGCGCTCATGCCCTGGGTTTTTTCTCTTAATGAATTATTCCAGGCTAGCCATTTAGTCCTTTGAGAGTCACAGCCCTTTGTTTTAGCTGCAACTTGGGTCTTGGTACTAGGGTATTGAGTCAGGCAGCTGAACAGTTGTGACCTGAGGCCATAAGCAGAGGAACATTTTCTGGAGTGCTTCACTAAGCTCCCCTGCTTTAATCAAAGGCATCCGATAGCCATGGTCCTGGGGACCATCTACCTAGGGCAGTGGACACCTTGACTATTAATTGGACACCTGTACTTTGGTTCCCATTCTATCACAGCTCCCCAAAGTGGTAGTCCATTGCTATTGAAGTAGAGCTGATGAAGTAGGAAGACTGGCTTTTTGCCTTGTTTGTTTGTTAGTTTGCTTGGGGCTCTCTGAGGAAGGAGGGGCTCCCACCTCCTCATCTCAACCCATCCCTTCAGTGATTCAGTCTCAGGAGGAAACCATGGCTCCTGGGGCCATTTCCTAATGGTACTGTAAACCAAGCAGCTCTGCTTCTGCCTGTTTCCAAGCCCACCCTTCTTTCCTGAACGCGGGTAGGGATGGGCGCTTTCCTCTTTGGAAGGAACATGTTTCAATGGCTCACAAAAAACAAAGGGGAAGTGAGGAAACAGGAAGAGATATAATGGGGGCTGGGGTAGAATCAGATCCCCTGGAGCCAAGCCCACCTTGTTCACAAGAGCTGCCCATGGCTGGATACAGCTGGCTGGTGATGCTAAACTTGAAAGTTATTATTATTATTATTATTATTTTTTGCTTCCTCCAAGATGATATAGGTACATGAAGTTTAGGTTAAGGGGGTGGGATGGGGCACTTTTTTATTTTTATGTTGTGTCCAGAATGACTGTTCATCTTTTGCTTTTTGCACTGTTTGTTTCCATATCTGTAATCTGAGCTAGTGCTAGGACTGGGAGGCTACACTTCAGGAAGTCTGAATAGGTTTGGGAAGGTGATGAGTGATGCCAGTTAGGGCTACGGAGGGAGAGGCCTGGTTTCTACTAGATCCACACTCCTAGACCTGTAGATCCCCCTGAACGCAGATAGCCAAGACCAAGAGCTGACGGCAAAGGTGGAACTCCTTTGCCCAGAAGTGTGACTTTGCCTCAGTTTCTTGGCAGACCATGCACAGGTTTTTGCTGAGATGGGCTGAGTCTGCAGTCTAGCCCTGATTTGGGTCAGGGGCCAGCCAACCTCTAATCAAACCTCTTTGGGGCTTACTCATGCTGATGGAAACATCATGGCTGAAAACTATCAGTGGGACCCACATCACCTAAGCCAGGCCTGTTTTTCTGAAAAATCTCCACAGTTGAGTAGAAGCTGTTCAGTGGATACCTTGAGTTCTGGTGACTTGAAAGATGGTTATCTTCGAGTGTCGGTGGCATTAAACCCCCAGGAGGGCTGAAGGACCTACAGGGTTACCTGTTGGTTTGAGAGGTTGATCTTCTCTTACTCTCACCATTTGCCTAAGAGATACTGGCCTAAAATTAGGGGGTCACATTAGAGGTCACTTAGACTTTGAAGAGATGGTGTGAAGTTATGTTTACCCTCCTCCTTTCTGTGCCTGGGAACTGTTTAATCCAGTTTTAGAATTGTGATTTGACTTCTTATCATTTGGAGAAGCTTCTGTTTTAAGGAATTTCTCTTATCCTGCCTCTCCCCTCCCTTGGAAGGTCTGGCCATGGCTTCTAGAATCTCAGTTGAATTTAAGAAAGCAGCAGCAGTACTTCCCTTTCCCTCGCACTTCCATTCCTTTCTCTAGAAAGTGTCTCACCTTGGGAAGCCCGGGGGCAGAGTCAGCAGGCTCTCTGCCCTCCCTGGGCATTGGGGATTGGGAATCACCCTCCCCGGTCAGCACAGTGCCTTTTCCTCTCCTGCTCTGAGCCAGGGTGGGCATTCCCTCTAGATGCGGGTCTGGGCAGGGGTCCTACAGTCCCTGCCGTGGGGCTGCTTCCTCATCCCTTCGTCCCCTCCCCTCTGCTGGCCAGCTCTGACCTAATTCAAGTGTCTTCTTGCCTCAAGGAACCTTAATGGCATCAAGTGGCAACTTGTAATACTGTCCTCCATGTCTCTCCAAAAGGACCTTGGAGAGCAGCTGAGCTTTCCAAAATGAGACCTATAGATCCTCCTGTTAAAGAAAAAGAGGTGGTGGGTGGTGACTGAGGATGTCCTTTGGGCCTCCTGCTGTGGCCCTTGAGGACCGAGTCGGGTGAGGCTAAGCAATTGTGCACTGAAGCCGAACTAGAAACAGCAAGGATCTGTTCAGAAATCTCAGAAGAAATCTGCTTCTCTTCTATGGAAAGATGTACTTAGGGATCAAAGAGCTCTGAGCAAATTGCAGTGAAGCCTTAACTTTCAAGCTTCAGAAAGATCAGAGTAATTTTTTCCTTTTAGTCCGGGCTAGGACTCTTCTGTATGTAGATCTCTCCTTGGGCAAGAGGGCTAGAGTTCTTCGTTTTATTACGAGACTAGATTGGTGTCAGTGGGTCAGCTGCCCAGTGAGGGAGGGTTTCTTCTTTGTATGTGGTAGCTTGCACCCCTCTGCTCGGTCCGTCCCCAGCTTCCTTTTGGCTAGCCATCTCTAGGGTGCCAGGTCATTTGGATAAGAACATGATTTGGGGATTGCATGGGTTGGCAGAAAGAGAGCAGGATGGATCGCTTGGGACGGGTTCCCCCTAGGAGTATAAAAACAAGGAGCCAGGATTGTGCTGGCAGCCAGGGAAACAGTAGTGCCTGTTAAAGTTGGCAAAGAGGGCCCTGGCATCTCTTGCATCCAGGCAGTCTTGTGAGATGGGGGCACATAGCACCAGGAAAAGCAGAACTCCATTCTCACCTCTATTTTGAGCTTCAGTGCTTTATTTCAGTATGAGGAAAAACAACAACAAACTGAAGTGTGCTTTCCGTCCTCTCAAAGGACAACTGTCGGGCAAGGAGAGCTGAGTTGCCAGGTGGGAGGAGAGAATTGGCAGGGACAGACGTCATGGCAACACCAGGAATGAGACATTGTTGTCTACTCTTCCCTGGTGTTCATGATCCGGGGAATGAAAAGAAATTTGACCCTGGATTAATTCCCTTAGATTTTTCTTGTACCAAATTCTATGCTAGGACCAGCTGCCCATTCAGAGCTCAGGACAGCCTCTTCAGTCATTATTGACCTAACCTGGCCTGTCAGGAAACCTAACTCTGCGCCTTCAGATCGGACCGGACTGCTCAGTTCTGTACCAAGTATTGGAGAATAGTGTCAAGTTCTTAGTAGCCCTTGTAGCTCCTACTCTAGATTGCCATCCTCTCCCCACGGAGGCCAAACCAACTCTGTAGCCACGGTGG